GCTTGTGAACAACTGCTGGACACGGAGATGCCCGGATGTGCATCTCATACTTCTGCCACGCATCGCTCAAGAACTCTGTCTGTGAGCATCTGGGTGTGAGATCGAGTCAGCGTGGACGACGGGCGCGACAACGACGACGACAGCGACGACTTCACTGACGTCCTCCTTGTCTGGGCATCTTCCAGGACATACGAGGGAAGCGAGACATGAGTGACATGAGCGAATCTGAGGACGAGATATCTGAGTGTAAATGAGTTTGAATGTGAATGAACCTGGATGGGGCTGAGTACGGATGTCCGTTAGTCTAGTTATGAGAGCCTCAGTACGAGTGGGTCTGAGACTGCGTAAGTCTGAGTATGAATGGGTCCGAGTGAGATTGAGTCCGAATGTGAGCGAACCTGGGAATGGTTTGAGTGCGAGTGTCAGCTAGTCTAGGCATGAGAGTCTGAGTACGAGTGGGTCTGAGAATGCGTAAATCTGAGCGCAACTGAGTGCGAGTGAGTCTCACTGTGGAGGAATATGGGTGTGGGTGAATCTGAGTATGAATCTTATGAGTGCGAGTCGGAATCGGAATGGGTCTGAGGGTAGGTGGGTCTGACTACGAATGGAGTCTGAAGGTGGGTGGGTCTGAGTGTGAGTGGTTATGCCTCACCCGAGACATCCTCAGAATCGGGTCTGAACGCAGACGAATCTGGCCACCCAGACAAGCAAACCACCCGAGACATCCTCGCAATCTGGGCCTCCTGGGGTGCGAAAGCCAGCGCCTCGCCCGAGACATCCTCAAAATCTTTTCCGAAAACAAAGGAAGTTGAGGGCGCAACCAGGCAAACCGCTCAAGCCATCCCCGCAATCTGGGCGCGGACGGGCCCGTGTGATACCCCCTGCCGCCCCCCCTGTGGGAGAGAGGAAACCAGCGCCTCGCCTGAGACATCCTCCGCAGTCGATGTGCGTCATCAGTTCTCCTCATCAGCATCAGCATCAGCATCAGCATCAGCATCATCAGCATCATCAGCATCATCATCATCATCATCATCATCATCATCATCATCATCATCATCATCAGCAGCATCATCGCCATCATCATCGCCATCATCATTGTCATCATCAGCATCGGCATCATCATCATCAGCATCATCATCATCGTCATCATCATCATCATAGTCATCATCGTCATCATCATCTTCCTCCTTCTCCTCCTCGTCCTCGTCCTCGTCCTCGTCCTCATCAACATCATCTTCATCATCAGCAGCATCATCAACGACATCGTCATCACCATCTTAATCAGCATCGTCATCAACATCATCACATTCATCATCAACATCAACATCAACATCATCATCATCATCACCTGCTGAGCCGTCAGTAGTTCCGGCATCATCATCATCCTCATCAGAATCATGAGCATCATCACCATCATCCTCCTCATCACCCTCACCAGCGTCATTATCATCGTCATCATCGACATGTCATGATATGAGTACTGATCCTGAGTAGTCAGGAGGAGGAGGAGGAGGAGGAGGAGGAGGAGGAGGAGGTGGGGCGTGCTCGACGCTGTCCAAGTAATGACGAGAACCCCCTCCTCGAAAAGGACATGCAGAACAATCAGCGCTGGGGCTTCCGGGGAAGGAGGTGGGAGGAGGGACGCGGGCGGCGGGAGGCGAAAAGGCCGGAACGGCCGGAGGGAGGCGGGCGGGAGGCCTCCGCGCAGCGCGCCGGCCCGGCGCGGCCGAGAGGGGAGGCGCGAATTCGGCGCGAATTCGGCGAGTGGAGCCTCCTCCTCCTCCTCCGTCTCCTCCTCCGTCTCCTCCTCCTCCTCCTCCTCCTCCTCCTCCTCCTCCTCCTCCTCCTCCTCCTCCCAGCCCACGGGCCGCCGAGCGCGGGAGTGGAGGGCGGCGGTGTTGTATACACTCGGCCAGGATACAGCAAGGAGGCGCGGCAAGGGTGCAAGGGGCCTTGGAACGCCATGCTGGCGTTTTCCGTGCGGGGCGCAGCAGATTTTCCTCGCAAGCAAAGCAACCACTCCTCTCCTCGCAAAGCAAGCACTCCTTTCCTCGCAAGCAAAGCAACCGTTGCCGCTGGATTTTTGTTTTTCCTCTCCTCGCAAAGCAAGCACACACCAGTTTCAGTCCCTGCTCCAGTGCGGGGCGCAGCAGGATGCCGAAGGGTGCCGAATACCGAAGCGGCAAGCATGCAAGGGTATGCCCTGGAAAGTTGGCCCAGCCTCACTATCACGGTGGGCTGTGTTTCACGAGGCCCAGGGAGGCACAGGCAAACTTTTCTGCGTCGGCGGCTAGGCAGAGTAGAACTGCGCAGGCGGAGAGCTGACGAAACGGGGGTGCCGTTGTGGCGAAGTGTCCCGCCATGCAGGGGGAGGGGACATGGCAGACGATTGCCCGGATGTCCGTCTTCCCCATCCACGTCCAGCATTTTCTCAGATTCCCATGGTGATTGACGTTGACCTGTGCCTGTGTCCACTCTTCCCTCCCGAATATTCTATAGGGGTGGCTGGCTCGGGGGGGGAACATCGACCTGGAATCGGTGAGACATCGCCGATTTCTTGGCGAAAGGCCCCCGATGGCGCATCCACACATTCCTGGGCGGAGCGGGCTATCGGGTCACCGTCGGCGATGAATGGGCGTTTGGGATTCGATACGTCCCCCCTTGAGCCTATGCCCCCCATCGTTGCCCCCGAGGCCACTGGAGCAACGAAGAGCGGGGAGACGTAAGACTCTCGCGTTTGGAGGGCTCGAGCAGGCCTGACAGGGGCCATCGGAAAAACGGCAAAGCCCAATCTGAAACCTGGCGCGAGCTCCCGCTGCAAACCCACACTAACTGGACCGACAAAATCAAGGACGGGCCTGTCGAAAAGCGTTGCCAAGCTGGAATTCTAGCGAACTTGAGCCGTACGTCTTCCCGAGAAGAGAGATGGGATTTACGCAAGATGGCGTAGCGACCTTACGCGTTTGACTTACGCAGGCCGCCAGCGCGGCACGCTGCATTGGAAACGAGGGCGCCTACGCGCCGTCTGACGCAGTCGGCCCCGCCATCTCATGCAACTCCTGCGCAGATCTCCGCGCAATCGACCCCGTCTCTTGTTTCGTCGCTCAGCTGAAGCGACGACGGCGTTTCTCCCGCCCCGGCCCACATCCGCTCGAGATCGGTCCCCCGGGCCCCTCCAAGGGGCCCATCGGGATCCGTCCTTCGAGGCGGCTCCAGCCGTGGGGACGAGAGGCCACCAGGAGGCATGGGAGGGACAGAAGCGCCGGGCAGGGCCGCCGCCGCCTCGCCTGGCCCTCCTCCGCCCCACGAGGAGGGCGCGCTGCTCGGGGGGTCCCGAGGCCGTGCTGCGACGGACCGCGCGGTCACCTCGAAGCCCCACGAGACCTCTGAAGGGGCCCAAGGACACACAAATAGATACACACACGAATCAAACAATCCCCCCATACTTTCCCATATGTATTTTCTGGGTTTCTGTCTTCCCCCCCACTTCCCATAGTTTCCCATATTTTCTAGGGAATCGACGATTCATTGTGTCTGTGTGTTTTTTTCCCTCCTGAGAGGAGGAGGAGGAGGAGGAGGAGGAGGAGGAGGAGGAGGGGGAGGAGGAGGAGGGAATCGACGATTCATCGTGTCTGTGTGTTTTTGCTCCCTCCCGAACCTCAACCGCGCGGTCCGTCGCCGCACGGCCCTGGGGCACCCCGGAGGCCGGGGCCGCCCTCGGAGGAGCGGCCCGAGCCCAGCAAAACTCGTGCGGCGGCCCCCGAACCCCACGGGCTCGCCGCGCGGTGTGGTCACTATATTGAAGGGAAACTGGGACACACAAATAAATACACACAAATAAAAATATTCCCCATATTTTCCCATATTTTCTGGGTTTCTGTCTTCCCCCCCACTTCCCATATTTTCCCATATTTTCTGGGAATCGCCGATTAATTGTGTATGTGTGTTTTTTCCCCTCCTGAAAAAAGCTTGTCTGTATGAGGTCCCCTTCCCTGGCGCGCGGAGCGCGCCGGGGGCGGCGCCGGAGGCACCGCCAAACGCGGGTCCAACAGCGATCCAAAGAAGTCCACCTCCGAGAAACGGTGCGCATGCTGTCTTTTGGTTCCTCGGACCAGGAGGGGGAGCGAGGCAAGGCGAGGGCGATCTCAGGCGCGGCCTCGCGTGACCAGCACCTTCCGTGACGTCAGCCTCGCCTTTCAAGTCCTTCCCCCAGCCACACACGTCTTGTTGAGCAGGGACCGACCGTCCTGGCATTCCTGTAGGCCTACCACGACGTGTTCTCAACACATGTTCTCGGAACATAGACCCGATGCGTTCATTCAAACAAGACGGTCCCAGCCAGAAATGTTCTGAGAACACTTCGTGCAGACCACAAGAGGCTATCCGAACATTCTTTGCTGGGCCCAAAGAGAAGCCAGGACGCTTCGCCACTGCCCGGTCTTGGGGTGAGGCGACGAAGACGTCCACGGAAAGGGATGGTAACTTGCAAGCTCTGCTGGAGGAACAAACCTATGTCGGCGCCCTTGTTTTCTAACGACGCGTTCACGCGAAACCTGGCCTGAAGAAAAAACGACCCGCCACTCCGTCCCAATTTTGCAGAAGATTGGATGCGTCGCTCTCAACCAGGCGCGCGGCCTCGGCCTTGTCGGCCTGGGTATGACTGAACATGCCCAGGTGCACGTCCACGTCGCGCCGCGTCGGCCCCCTCCAACGCGTTCGAGGCCGCCCCTGGCGACTTCGGGGCCAGCGAGTCTGAAGGGGCCATGGGACACACAAATAAATACACACAAATAAAACTATTCCCTATATTTTTCCATATTTTCTGGGTCTTTGTCTTCCCCCCCACTTCCCATATTTTCCCATATTTTCTGGGGAATCGACGATTAATTGTGTCGGTGTGTTTCCTTCCCTCCTGAGAGTCGATCACCCGGCCGCCGGGCTCCGGAGCCTTGCGCGGGGCCCGTGGCGCCGGGTCGGAGCCGCTCGGCCGGGCCGCCGGCCTACGCGGCCGGCGCCGCCGCCGCGGGCTCGCCCACGGGCGGCTCAGCGGCCGGCTCCTCTAGGGCGACGAGATGTATACATATCCACTGCTCCTGGCCAGGCCCATCCTGGGCCCGGGAGCTGTGTATATGCCTCCCTGGCCAGGCCAGGAGGGCGTATACACTGCTCCTGGGCCCAGGATGGGCCTGGCCAGGAGCAGTGGATATGCATAGAGATCTCGTCGCCCTATCCTCTGAGAGCAGGAGAGCCCAGAATCGAAGCGAAGCATCGGATCGGCGATCGAAGCGGATCGGATCGGCGGAGGTCGGCAGCCGACGCGGGAAAAGTCGGATCGGCGGGTAGCGGCAGGCTGGTACAGCTCCAATGAGAACTCGGAGCCCAAATCGGAATCCCAAGTCGAATCGAATCGGAATCGGAAGCCGTCGAAGTCGAATCGAATCGAATTGAAGAAATCGAAACGAGCCCTGTGAGAGGGAGCGTTTGGTCCAGAACATTGGATACCACATGTTTTCAACCGCAATCGGTCGCGACCGATCGTAACAGGTCGCTCGTCGGTCGCGACCTATCGGCCGCGACCAATTTTCGAGTAAATCGGTCACGACGGATCCCTGATTTTGCAGCAAAATCGGTAGCGACCGATCTCGTCGGCCGAGACAGAGAAATTCCAGTATCCAATTGACCAGGGTGGCGGGGGGGAAACGGAACAAAAACTTAACCTGCACATCGTTGCGCGCTGCAGTGGCAGTGATATTCCGCTCACATGAAAACAAAACACAACAGCAACGACAACAAACATTGTAAGACTAGTCGCTCTCATCTGTTCGCGTGTCATTCAACATGTATCTTCCACCCTCGAGAACCGCCCTTTTCGTCTTTGGTCATGCCCCCTTCGGGTGTACATATTCCTTCGCTGCCACGTGTAATTGGCGCAGCCTTTGAAACAGGAGGAACAGAAGGAATGGAGCAGGGAGAGAGCCAGGCGGAAGGGAGTGGAGGAAGGGAGGGAGGAGGGAAGGGGGCAGGAGGGCGGGAGTGAGAAGATGGAGGACGAGAGGTATGAGCAAGAGGCATTCGGAATACTGGGAAGTCTCAGGCGAGAACGCGGTTCCTGAGTAAAGTATAAGAGAGGCCCGAGCGAGAGCGGGATTCCAGAGCGTGGAAGAAGCGATTCGTTAATATGTTGAACGGACAACTCAAGCGAGAGCACGATGTCAAGAAGTCTCTTGCGAAAACCCGACTTCTCAATAACATGTGAACAACTATCAACCGGGGGCCGTTGTGACTGTATCTCGGGGGGACCAACAAGCAAGGCTGACTCGCAAGACCTTCACTTGTAAAAAATTGGGTGCGAGCCTCGGGAAGGCCAAGACCATTGAAAAACACAGTGGACACCAGGGGGATCGCCAATACTTATTCTTCAGAAATACAACTCAACGAGAACAATAATCATCCTTGAGAACTGATACCGCTAACACATGCCTTTGTGCCGCTTAGCATGTAAATCCCAAGCCCTCGATACCCGCACTCTTCGTCTTCGTTCGTACCACCCTTGGGGGTATATCTTGTTTTCCTGTGACGCGTAGTTGGCGCAGGGGGAGGGAAGGGAGGGAAGAGACAACTGGGGCGGAGATGGATGGAGCAAGAGAAAGACTAGCAGGAAGGCCAAAACGAGAACGTGATTCCTGAGTGTCGAGGGCGCGGTGTCTGAACAAGTTGCGAGGAAATGCCACGCGAGAGCTCGATTCCAGCATACATTGTGAAGAAGTCCCGCGCGAGAGCACGATTTTGACAAAATCGTGAGGGAGAAACAGGCGGGAGCCGTTGTTGTGCTAGTTCGGGGTCCAGCCACCCAATCTGAGGCGCAAGAATTTCCCATTGTGAAACAATAGGATGCGAGCCCCGAGAGGAGCACTTCATTGAAAAACGCAATGGGCGCCATGGGGGTCAAAAGGATTTGCAATCAGAATTTGTTCCTCGCAAGGTATAGTGACTGAACTGAACTGAACAGACTGATCGCACTCGTTACGCGACGGTGTTATTCTCGGCCGCAAGGGCGCAACCTATGGCGCAACCAATAGGAGACGGTTGCATTCTCGGCCGCTGAGGGCGCAACCTATGGCGCAACCAGTAGGAGACGGTTGCATTCTCGGCCGCCGAGGGCGCAACTTTAGGGCGCAACCGATAGGCCCAACCTATGGCGCAACCGATGGGAGACGTTTTTCCCGGAAAGGGCGCCGGCCCAGGGCTCTCTTTTAGTAGGTTTACCCCCGGTTTTGACGGCTGTAGGGCCGGCGAATTTCTTTTGCGATAACGAGCGAGGTCGCGAAGGGCCGGCGAATTAAAATTTGAGGATGTCTCGAGCGAAACGCTTGATTTTCAGAATTGGTTGAGGATGTCTCGAGCGAAACGCTTGTTTTGTGTTATAGATTGTCCTCTCCTGGGGACCTGAATTATGAGGATCTCTCAAGTGGATTGCTTGTTTTCACGTGCCCAGGACTTGAGGATGTCTCGAGCGAGACGCTTGGTTTCACGCCTCCAGGTGGCCCAGACAGATGTCTAGCATGAAGATTTGTTGAGGATGTCTCGAACCAGAGGCTTGTTTTCACGTGTCAGGTCGCCCAGACAGATGTCTAGCATGAGCATTTGTTGAGGATGTCTCGAGCGAGACGTTTGTTTGCACGTGTCCAGGTTGCCCAGGCGGATGTCTAGCATGAGGATGTGCTGACAACGTCTTGAGCAAAACGCGTGTTTCCACGTGTCCAGGTCGCCCAGGCACAGCACAGCCGTCGGCACGGTACATCAACATCGATACCATTAGCAATGCAGCCTGGCATGTTGCCTGGAACGTTCCGCGGAGCGTCCCGTGGCGAGTCCCCCTGGCACGTCGCGCGGTGCACGTCCATTGGCACGTTCCGTAGCGCGTCCCCTTGGCACGTCCCGCGGTGCGTGCCCATGGCATGTCCCCTGGCACGTCGCCTGGCGCGTCCCTTGGGACGTTCCGCGGCGCGTCCTCTTGGCATGTTCCCTCTGTCGATTAGTTCTGGGGCAACTACCATCTGCTCAGGCAGCTCGAGCGTCCCGTGGCGAGTCCCCCTGGCACGTCGCGCGGTGTACGTCCATTGGCACGTTCCGTAGCGCGTCCCCTTGGCACATCCCGGGGTGCGTGCCCATGGCACGTCCCCTGGCACGTTGCCTGGCGCGTCCCTTGAGACGTTCCGCGGCGCGTCCTCTTGGCATGTTCCCTCTGTCGATTAGTTCTGGGGCAGCTACCATCTGCTCAGGCAGCTCGAGCTTACGATCCAGATCAGTTCGGTGAGGACTCGGATGCCAGGGAGGACTCGATCCACAACGCTATATAGAGCACAATCGCGGCATGGCACATCGCAGTTCAGCACGGCCCAGCACAGCACAGCCGTCGGCACGGTACATCAAGATCGATACACTCAACTATGCACCTTGGCACGTTCCTTGGCGCGTTCCGTGGCGAGTCCACCTGGCACGTCGCGCGGCGCGTCCCCTGGCACGTCCCTCGGCACGTCCATTGGCACGTTCCGTAGCGCGTCCCCTTGGCACGTCCCGCGGTGCGTCCCCATGGCACGTCCCCTGGCACGTCGCCTGGCGCGTCCCTTGGGACGTTCCGCGGCGCGTCCTCCTGGCATGTTCCCTCTGTCGATTAGTTCTGGGGCAGCTACCATCTGCTCAGGCAGCTCGAGCTTACGCTCCAGATCAGTTCGGTGAGGACTCGGATGCCAGGGATGACTCGATCCACAACGCTATATAGAGCACAATCGCGGCATGGCACATCGCAGTTCAGCACGGCGTAGCACAGCACAGCCCTCGGCACAGTACATCATCATCGATACATTCAGCATTGCATGTGCCCGTCGCCCAATCAAGTGTCTTTGAAATGTTGCAATGCCTTACAATTCTATATTTCTTTCCGGGTTCGTGGGTCGATCATGTTCTTCTCGGCCGCCGAGGCGCAATCTGTGGCGCAACCGACAGGAGATGGTTTTATTATCGGCCGCCGAGGGCGCAAACTGTATTATCGGCAGCCGAGGGCGCAACCTATGGCGCAACCGATAGGAGACGGTTGTGTTCTCGGCCGCCGAGGGCGGCACTTATGATGCAACTGATAGGAGACGGGTATGTTCTCGGCCGCTGAGGGTTCAACCTATGGCGCAACCGATAGGAGACGGTTTGATTCTCGGCCGCCAAGGTGCCAGGAAAAGGAGGATGAAGAGGAGGAGGAATAGGAGAAACGAGGACGAGGTCCTAGACGAGGACGACGAGAAGGAGCTGGAGCAGTAAGACGAGGAAGACGAGGAGGAGGAGGACACGGAGGACGGCGACGACGATCCGAATGGGGAAGAGGACGGGGAGGAATACGAGTAGTACGAGGACGAAGTGTGGGCATTCGAATGCGTGCAGGGCTAGGCCCGATTTGTGCTCGCCGTTTGGGCTGGCGGCGGGGCCCAAGCGGCGAGATGTCGTGTGATTTATCGTTTAGAAGTGGGAGTTCATCATCAAAAACAACAACAATTAGTTTACCCTCATGCGCGATGCTTCCACACGCAGCATGCGACCATCATGATAACCATCCCCATCATGGGGGATTATTGCTCAATCGCGGGGGTCCGTTATTCCCATTCCCAGATCTCCCGCCCAATGAGGTCTTGCAAACACCTCCTCCGATGAATTTCAACATCTCCCGCCTCGAAAACACATGCCCGCGCCCTGCTGCGCCGATGCGAGACCGCCAGTGGAGCCCCAGCCAAGGGTAAAGCACAAGGAAGTATCGAGCGACAGGATTGGCTTGGTGGGGATGGGGGCTGTCGGCGGCGAGGCAGCGACCTGGACGACGACGACGACGACGACGACGACGACGACGACGCCTGCGGACCAGACACCTATGCGGATTCCTACGCGGACACCTACGCGGATCCCAATGCGCACGGCGGCAGTGCCCGGAGCGCACTGGGGGGGGGAGCGTTACGTCATAGGGGGGGGGGGAGCGGGGGCCATGACGCCCGACATGCCCCAAGCAATAAAGAAA